TCAGGAGGTAGTCCTATGGGTGGATCAGGTGGATCAGGAGGTAGTCCCATGGGCGGATCAGGTGGATCAGGTGGTAGTCCTATGGGTGGATCAGGTGGATCAGGTGGATCAGGTGGATCAGGAGGGTCTGGTGGATTTGGTGGAATGGGAAGTTTCAAAGACAAATTTGGTGGATCAGGAGGTAGTCCCATGGGTGGTTCAGGTGGATCAGGTGGATCAGGTGGATCAGGAGGTAGTCCTATGGGTGGATCTGGTGGATCAGGAGGTAGTCCCATGGGTGGATCTGGTGGATCAGGGGGTAGTCCTATGGGGGGATCAGGTGGATCAGGAGGTAGTCCTATGGGTGGATCAGGTGGATCAGGAGGTAGTCCTATGGGTGGATCAGGTGGATCAGGAGGTAGTCCTATGGGTGGATCAGGTGGATCCGGTGATTCAGGTGGGTCTGGTGGATTTGGAGGAATGGGAAGTTTCAAAGACAAATTTGGAGGATCAGGTGGAAGCCCAATGGGTTAATCAAATTATCAGCAAATAGTGTTTTAGTCTATATTGAACACGATACGGACATCAAATAAATCAATCTGTTGGTTGTTGTTCATTCAGCTTTCATTCTGCGTCTATTATTTTCCTCGCAAAAAAAAAAAATTGTGACATTTACTTTAGATCTACTTGACACAAGATAATAAATCATTGTTCACACTACACATACTAAACATTGTTCAATAGATTCGCCGCAAAGGTAGGCTATGGGTGGTTGGCCGGTGCTCTGGTGTGGTTTGCTCCTTCTTTCCTATCAAACATCTATCGTCCTTATCTCCCCCTTCTTCTTTTTTTATGTGTTACTCTCGTGTCACGCCTCTAATCTTCTCTGACGCTCATATATATGACCTTATGCAGTTGCGAGCGCCGTAAAACCTCTACTAAAACTAAAACTAAAACTAACAAAAAGGTAGGCTATATTGGTGCCGGTGTTTGTGGTTTAGGCCCTGTATTTAGTGAAAAACGGAGATACTGGCATTAGATAAACTTTCTCCCCACCCAGACAAGCATCAAACTCATGTCTCCTGACTCACACCTCACCCCCAGACGCTGGTAGGAACTGGCTAACTACATGTAACTCGTGGAAGAAATAGTAGGCCTACATGTAAATGAAGTTATTCAAGCATTCCATAGATCTAGAAGGTCTGTTCTACAAGGCGAACATGAGACAGCAGAAACAAATTTTAATAGATGTAGGCCTTAACAAAAACGGGAGTAAATTCTCGTTAATCTCATTCAAGTAGACAGGTTTCCGTGTGGTAGCCATTTTACGAAGATACCCCACCCACTCACCAAGACTTAAAACTTGTGGGAAAAAAATCTGCTTTTCTTTATTTGTTCTAGACGATAAATCCATAACAATTTATATCACCACCTTAGATTCGAGTTGCAAAGATAGGGCCTAACTTTTCAAGATCTTGGGGGCCTATTTGCTCAGTGTCAGTACTGTTAGTTTTGAGAAATTTGATGTAAAACGTTTTTATGTTTCACAAGGTCAAGCTCTTTAAAATGCAATTCTTGGAATATCTTGATAACGATCACCCAGAATAATCTTATGATTTTGATAGAGGTAGTTGTTAGGCTTTGAGTATTTTGATTTCTGATCAAGGTCTTATATAGTTGTATAGTACTAGCTGAGCCCCCTTTCGATGAAAGGAATGATCGGTGCATTAATAGCAACTGATAGTCTTTGGCCTACTATATTTACACTCTAGTACTGGAATGGAGAAATAAATCTTTAGACATGCAAAATATTAGAAGGTCTAGATTTATACTCTCCAAGCACCAGTGCGCACGCGTGAACGGAAACCTCACTTGTTTACAACGGCGTTTTATAGAAGTCGGACTTTCCCAAGAATAGATCTAGGCGAAACTAATGGAAAACTGAAAATTAAACTACAGCGGCTTCAGGCTCATCAATAAAACTGTGCATCCTTTAAATGATTCTGAACCACTATGAAGTTTGTCAAATTCAAAAATTAAGTGGTTCGGAAGTTTCATGCGGCCAAAGTGACGGACTTTCACAAATATTTATGTAGAGATCATAACAACTCAAAACAGCAACATCATTTTAATAATGATAACTTAATAATAATAATAATAATAATAATAATAATAATAGATAGATAGATAGATAGATAGATAGATAGATAGATAGATAGATAGATACATACATACATACATACATACATACATACATACATACATACATACATACATAGATAGCATTTGTATAGCACAGATCCCTGCTCATGCTTAACAGAAAACTCCATGCGCTTCACAATCTATAACATATACTCTTAACCCCAGCAGGCCTGAAATAATTCTGAAACATCCTCAACTTTCTGGGAGGCATACAGTGCAAGCAGCCATTAATATAGGCGCTAAAATACTACATACTGACAAGGTCTTTCGCTGTCTATGGAAAAATATCATACTACGTATCCTTTTCATAAATAAGTTTCCCTCCCTTATAAAGCAAAAAAATATAGTACATGTATAAGGCCTAGATTGATTAAATTGGGCACAACATACCTTTTATATCTGCTCTATTCAACATAGCATCCACCGTTGACAATGCACTTCTGCTTAGGCTGTAGCCAGCGGTTGTTAAAAACTATAAACGCACTGACGTAAGTGCATTTATTCCGGCACTTAATTGCCTCTTTCGTTGCTTGACTGATGTCCTCCTCTGACTGAAATCGGTGTCCGTGAAGGTGTTCTCTCATTTCGGAGTACAGGTGGAAATCAAACGGGAACAGGTGAGGAGAATATTAAGGTGGATGTTTCTGCAAGTCCCACTGATCATAGCCAGCCAAAACGTCGGTCACCACCTGGGCTTTGTCAACTGGCGCAAAGTCGCAATGGAACACTACTCCTGATTCCAACAGCCCAGGTCATTTTTTTATGCCAGAGCTTTTCTTGCAATACCATCTTGTAATTAAATGTAGTAGGCCTACTGGGCCTTGATTGTAGTACCTGTAGGAACAGGCCAGCCCAGAATCACGCCTTTCGTGTCAAAAAAGAACATGTGCATTAGATATAGATTTTAGATCTAACAACCTTGACAGCTCCTTAATTTTGTTTGCGGCGCACTTTCTCTGGACGTGGTTCATCAATGTCTCTCCATTCGGCAGACTGGCGTTTTGTCTCAGCAGGAATAAACCCAAGTATCATCACCCGAGATGATTCGATCCAGGAATGTGTTGTGCTCAGTTTGAAATCTCCGTTTGAAATTCAGAGAGAAACCGACCCTTGATCCCTTTTAAGTTGCTGTGTCCGCAAATGAGGGACCCATTTTGAAAACATTTTTTCTTATTGGGTTTGTTGGTGAGAAACACTAATGTTTCATTTCCAATCTCTTCCTATGTTTTCCTCCGGTCATCCTTCGGTGAAGCGAGCACTTTAGAGATGTAGGTTTCACCACATGACACTATAAGTTACTGTAACAACAGGCCCACCTGGACGATTTTCATCTCTTCCATCTCTTCTTGACCCTTTGCACTTTGCAACTTACAGCTTTTGCCCACTTCCTAACAGTCTGAACAGAAGGTGCATTTGCTCCCAAGACTGTAAAAAGGTCACTGTGAATCTGAGGAGTAATCTTATCCGACAGAACAGAACAGTTTAAAAAGACACGAATGTCATATCTTGAAAATGTGTGTTGCACTGTTGAATCTTCCACTTTGCCGCCACTTCGCCCATTGTACTCTATGTACGCCCACCAGGAAGTCTTGTGCCATTCGGCACTCGTTCAACAAAACGCCTTCACATTATTTTAATGGGACTTCCCGAAAATGTTGGTGTACATCTAGACGTGTACAAAATTTGGCATGGCTACTTTGAATACTCTTGGTTTTATGAGATAGGGACACTTATTATTTATGATTTCATATAGAACTTTGTAGTTCTGAGGTAGAATTCTAGCATAAAACAGAAGCCCGTAGTGAATAGACCAAGTCATATCGTGTGATTAGATGCTTGAAGAGAACTAAATAGTAGGCCTATCCGGAGACGTCTCCGACGGAGATAGACTTATCAAATTTCTGGATCTAGTAAAAAAGAAAAAAGAAAATGGGGTTTTGGGGGGGGGGGGGGGGCATGCCCATAATTTGATATTTTGCAGTTAGGTTTGACATTTACATTTTACTTGAAAACAATATTGATTTGCATCAGTTTTAGTAGCTATATGTGTGATCTGCTGCAAACAATACGCAGTTTGACACCCCAAAAGCAGTGCGTCTGTGAGCGGGAGTACGTCTCCGAATAGTTCCTGGGTGTTCGCTGGAGACGTCTCCGAATAGTTATCTTCTGCCACAAAACCAATGAGGTTATACAGTAAAGTCCTTGCATTAATCTACTTGAGAATTTTCTTTTCTCGTCTGCTCTGCCTCCTCAAACTTCCCTTTTCATTCACCGGTCAAAGTCAAAGGAACTGATTACTGAAATATATTCGTAACGTCTGTTGTGACAATGTGACAAGAATTGGGGAAATATAATTGTGTCTCGTGTTTTAGAACTTTTTGTTGTTGTTTTTTAAAAGTATTTTCCTTTTACATGTAACGAATAACTCTCTTCTGATGCCAGCACAACTGGAAAGGCAATATCCAGTTAAAACTCAAACTGTTGGAAGTTAATGTTGGGAGTTTGAAGCCATAAAAGAAAAGGATATTGATTGAACGGCTTCGTAGGCAGAGGCCTACCTCCTATTTCACGAAGACATGAAATACCTACTTCATTAAAACTTAAAGACACATTATTTAAAATCAACAAATTTAAATTTCACCCCCCCCCCCCCCCAGTTAAACACACACACAGACACATGCACACACTTACGTCACTAGCGTATTACACACATACACACAAACCGATACAAGAATGAAAGAGACGGAGAACTAGACACAGAGAGAGAGAAACAGAGATAAATAGAGAGAGAGAGAGAGAGAGAGAGAGAGAGAGAGAGAGAGAGAGAGAGAGAGAGAGAGAGAGAGAGAGAGAGAGAGAGAGAGAGAGAGAGAGAGAATATCTTTCTTGACAGACAAGTTTTATTCCTCCTGTTGAGACTGGGCTGGAACAACACAATAAAAGCTTCTCGAAACAAAACAAGTGAAATACTGAACACAAAGTGAAATATGTATGTCAAAAATCTCTTCTCTTTTATTTAGAAATGACAAGAACATACCAAAATATACCCCCAAGATATCATGCATTTGTCCATACATACACATAATTCATTCACTCAACTCAAGCAATACAAAATGATACGACAATGAAAGATCTCCAGTATATTTGTCCCTAACCCTCTTCCCATCAGAGCTTCAGTCTGTAAAGTTAGGGTCCAGATCGGTCTATTTGCCCAAGACACTTAGCATTAGCAGCACAGTCGACCATTTCTCATTTCCGCCATTGCGTTTTTAAAATGTTGACATTGTCCAGGACATCCACTTGTCTATGACAACCACTAATTTCTCATTGATAATTGAGTGGCCATTTTCGACAATTTCGACTATAAATGTCTTCTCAGCCTCATTTCCCAGTTCTCCACCTGACAAAGTCGAAGCAT